ATCAAGGAGAACACATGAACAGATAGCATTGAGAGTGGGATTTTTTTCTCTCCTATAGCCCCAAGGGAGCTTGCCTTGCTAATTGAGGTATCTATGTGCTCACCCCTGTAACCAGCTAGGTCTTATGCTGATGTCAGCAAGAAGTGGCAGCAGAGATTTTTTTCTGTTTAAAGGAGCCTCAGCAATACATACCTATTCCTCTTCAGGAAACTGGCTTTGTCCAAATAGATCCCCCCAGTTCACCTTGATGGGAGCAGAGAGGGAAAGATTCAGCCCCAAGTTTAAATAGTTGATAAGGGCAGCTTCACTTCAGTTTCTTTAACCCTGCAAATCCAAATTCACAGATGCTAGTGAGCCTTGTCTCCCTCTGGTTCCTTTATAGATGGTTCAAAGAAAATCCAGTGTTACCACTTTGAACTATTTGCTCTGGAGGAGCCATTCTTTCACCATTTGTTGGGTTGAAAATTTCCACTGGTTCCTCAAGTCCAGACAAAAGGTGTGAACACCCTTCCAGTGTCTGAAGCCATCACCTGGCATACCTTCAGTTTAGCATTCACAGGCAGTTTTTATCAAACCTCTTCTGTATGAGGTATGCTAGAATTAAGCATCAGTGTTATTTATTAACAATCTGACCTATCCAAAATAAATTTTCTTCAGTCTAAAAGGCTGTCATGTGTGCCACCAAATCCCAGCAAAAGGATCAGAAATATTTAGTGAATGTTGAGAATGCTCTTTCATTCCTACCAGTGATCCTTCACATTACCTTAGGGAGGGGCTAAATGGAAAAAGTAGGGAAATTTCTACTATAAGCGTTTTCTGCCATGAAGCAGATTTAAAGAAACTATAGAGCTGAACAACTTTACAATTGATTATAAAATCTGAAAGGATAAAAGCTGGGTCCAAACTAGAAGAGTAAATGACAAGTAAGCAGTTAATTAAATAATTACTTGAAAATTACCAGGTACCTGAAAGTAAGTGGTTTGATAATTTCATTCCAGTTCACAGAGGACAAATATGAAAAAAAAACCATTGTGATCAGATTTTTATTGATCTTATATGCGCAAGTACTGCTGCTGTGCTGTAACCTGCAAGAGTTTTGTGTACAATCCTCTGACGAATTTGGAGCCAAATTTGTCTAAGCATACAGTCAAATTATGACCCTAGAAAGACTCCTGGACTTAATTACCACCATGTTACTCAAGGTTCATGACAGCATATCCCTGCTGATGTCAGAGCCACTCTGTGTGAAACCTGAAGGATATGCTGATGAATCAACTCTCATAAGTGCTATAATTCCCTAAAAAATATACAGTATGTTTAGATCAAACTTGTACATGCAAGGAAGTGAAAACTCTTTTAAAACAGCTTTTAGGCTCTCTGATGTCATGAAGTATTTTAGATGTGGTCCCTCTCTGTTCTGGCCCTTTCTAAAGCAGAATTTCGCTCTCCTGCCTCCACACTCTAGTAAGAGGAGCATGAGTAGTCAGTGGGCTGCTCCCAAGGCTGAGCAAACATAGGCTGGAGGGGCAGTGCTTGCTGTCACCAATCTTATTGTCTTTATTATAGAGTCTGCAAGCAGCTTTCACTTTTCACTGTCTCTGATTTTCAATTTTTCCCCATCCTAGTATCACATAGAAACCCAGCCAGGATTCAGGCCTTACTTTACCTAGCATTCCAAAAAACCCCTTGCCAGTCAAATTCCCATTAATTGATTTCATTGTATTAATTTTATTATACCACCACAACCCAAGCAAAACAGATACACTGTGCTGGAATAACATGCATTTGTTCTAGTACAATTTTATACTTATGTGCTATTCCTTTTCATGAATAGGGATTAAAATGTGGTTTATCTACAACATAATGATAATCATCTTTATGGAGAGTTTTTTAAGCTCAAGCAGTGACAAAGTGATTACTTAATTGCTCAAGATGCTGATAATGCAGCAACTGGCACAAGTTTGCTGTGCACAGTGATGGTTCAAGTATTGACTAAATGGCAAGTCTTTGTATGGATTTACACAGCACTAGCTTGTTCTTAATAACCTTGTATGTGAACACCTTTTTTTAGTAACAACTGTAATTTTCTCTGCAGTAAGAATTTTTACACAATAGGTACTTAAAAATTTCTACCATCCTCTTTCACATCTTCTTTACTATGAATAAACTTTTAGCTGAGAAGTCATGAATGCCAGAACATTTATACCATACACCGAAATATATAACTTCCAATAGCTATCAGCATATATGATTTTTAATATCATAATCATACTATGAGCATTTCCCTTGTACAATGCTACAAAAAATATCAATTTTAAGATAATAAGACAACAAACACTAACTAGAGAGTGATGCCTGATGTAGAAAGATACAATTATATTGCTCATCCCTTCTGTCTCAAAAATGTGTTTACATTAACTCAGCTGAATTAAAACAGGAGGCAAATAATTGCTCTGGAAGAACTGTACCAGACAAAGTCAAAATTTAAGGATATCTAAAATTATAGTACATTCATCCCTTTTCTTTCCCAGAAACATTTTTTAAAAGACTGCTAATACTGATGCCATCAATTTTGTCATTCAAAGTTTCTAGATCATGTGCCATACAAACATTTAGCAAAGACAGATGAGTTTTCTGGGTTTACATGAATACCACTGGATGACAAAGTATCTGAGTATGGAATTTTTTACTTTTTCAGTTTACCAAAGTCCCCCTGAATCTCTTCAGTATCTGGCTATTACACACACCTCTTACATATGCTTTCCAGCATTGCTGCTAAGTAATGCCTTCCATCACTGTTTCAGTTGCAGGGATGACATGGGATGGCTTGATGCTGTCAGTGGTCTCCTCTTGTGTTCCTATTTGAGGACAGAACAAGGATGCAAGGAAAATAGTATTTTTTTCCTTTTCAGGATTATTGAAGAATAAGACCCACACTTGCACAGACCCATGGCCACTGTGACTTGCATCATGACCCATACACTTGAACTTTTGAATGTACCATCCACATTTCAGCTTCCAAAATAAAGATTAGTTGGAGCTCAGGGGAAACAAGCCCAATGCTGCTGGGAAAACATGGTTATTTTTAGTCATGGTCATTTGCATGATGACCTTGAAGCAGAAGGTCTAGAACACAACAGCCAGAAAGATTACTCTTTTGTTAGGGATAACATTTATGGATGGCAGTTGCATTTCCTCCTCCTGATTATACATGGTCCTCTCCAAGAATGGTTCCTGAGGGATTAAAACATATCTAGGCACTTTGAAACCACAAGTGGAAATTCTGTTTCCCACAGTTGGTATAGAGAAAGTAGGCTGTGACAGGGGAAAGGTCAAGAGAAAGCAGTCATATCAAAATAATTACTTTCCAAAAGTAGGGAAATAATGTTTGTTTATACAGTGACTGAGAAAGAGTGTGCTGTGGAAAAGGGCAAAAGGAGACAGGTTTCTCTACTGCTTTCCATCAAGAGATTTCTACATAAGGTCAGGTTCAAGCACAGGTGGGATACCTCATATAATTCTGTAATTTTAAACATCCGCTTCTGGACTACTGGTGTAAAGTACTCTTTATAGTCAATGGAAAGAAATAGTCTCCATAAGTGAGACAATTGTCTTAGCATCAGATCAATCACCTTCAGCATGAGCTTGTTTCTCCTGCTGAGAGCTGGGTCTGGGCTCCTAGTCCATGTAGATGTCTAACTAAATGCACATGAGCCCAGGCCAGCTGTCTGTGCGTGGCATGCCTCACCCTCAGATGTGCAATCCGTACATTTTATTCATAATTTACAGAAGACTGCATGAGAAGCCTAAAGAGAAATTGCAATAGACAAAGGAAAGGAAAGGTGAGGCATATATAGAAAGAGAACCGTAAGGTGAGGAAAATGGCAAGAGTGGAAGGTGGACAGGTTTCCAGTTGCTGACACACAGCATTCCTAGAGAGACAGAGAAAACTGTGAATCTCGTAAAAGTGTTAGTTCATTTGCATAAATGCTACATCCCAGTTAAGCGGTCTTTAATTGCTTCCCTAATGTGTCAAGTGCTTTACCTACATTTTCCCTCTCTATCCTAGTATTTTTGGCTGAAATTTATCTTGACAACTTTGCCTTCAAAATCAGAAAGTTTCTCTGTTGTCCACTTGCTTAATTTTTAAACACGTCTGTGTCTTCATACACTTCAGTAAAACTCGAAATTTGAGCATATTTTGTTATGGAAATCCCATAATTTCTTGGCAATGCAGCAGGAATAGCTTTGGCACTGAGATGCTGACCGGTATAATTTTATTGTCTTCTTGCATTCTGCTCTCTACCTGTGTGTCTAGCTGCTGTCTTTGTTATGCTCCTAGGACATGTGCTCTTTGTTCTATTTGCACAGCACCCTGCAAAATGGCATCCTAGTCTGTGACTGGACTCTGGTGCACTCTGATAATAGAGGTGATAAACACCCGTGTCCTGTCTGAGGTTGCTATGGTGCATGAGAACCACGCTGTTCTTGCAAGCTTTTAAGTGCAAAAGTAGGACCCTGCGCACGGGGACAAGGCAACACCATTCTCCCGGTTTTGTATTGATACCCAGGGTGTTCTCCCATGGCCTCAGGCCAACGGGATGCTTTAGACCGAGACTTCTAGGCAGAAGTTCGCATTCAGCTTATCCGCGTTTGTTTCTTACTGTAAACCACTGCCCGGAGCAATTTCTGTGGGAGGAAGCACAGGACGGTCCAGCCGCTAGTGCGAGCAACCTTGGGCGACAACACGGGCGGCTTCACGGGAAGAGCCCGCAGGCCGGCGGCAGTCACTCACCGCGCCGCTCTGCCCATCCGCACCGCCTCCCCGCCGGGGCCGCCCCCGGCGCGGCGCCGCCCCCGCTCCGCCCGCCGCCCCCAGCAGCCCCCGCGCTGCCCCGGGCCCGCCGCCGCTCGCAGCGCCCGAGCCGCCGCGCAGCGAAGCTGCCGCCGTGCGCGGCCCGCCGGGCGCCGCGGCCTGCGGGCGCGCTGGTTGGCGGCGGCGGGACACGTGAGCGGGGAGGCGGCGGCGGCAGCGGGAGTTTCCCCGACAGCTGGGGCTTGCGGCGGCGGCTCCTCCTCCCCGGGTCCCCGCGAGAGCCCGGAGACCCCCCGCGCTCCTCCTTATTGACAAACGCACAAAGGGCCGCGCCGGGGCCGGGCCGGGACGCGTCTGGAGCCGGCATGGGGGACAAGAAGAGCCCGACCAGGTAGGGGCAGCGGCGGCGCTTTCTCGTTCCCCCGCGCCCTCCGGGGGCGCGGGGCCGGCGGCGGGGGCGCGCCGGGGGCGGCGGGCGCGTCGCGGCCGGTGCTGCCCCTGGCGCGCGTGTGTCTCCGCAGGCCGAAGCGGCAGCCGAAACCCTCCTCGGACGAGGGGTACTGGGACTGCAGCGTCTGCACCTTCCGCAACAGCGCCGAGGCCTTCAAGTGCTTGATGTGCGACGTGAGGAAGGGCACCTCCACACGGTGGGTCGCCGGCGGAGGGGGAGCGGGGCCGGCGGGGGGCGGCTGTGCGGCCGTGACAGGAATCGGGGCCGGGGAGCCGCGGTGCATCCCCAGGGTGAGAGGGAGGGCGGCCGTGACAGGAATCGGGGCTCGTTTCTCAGGAGTGGGGGCGGGAACACGCAGCCTCCCCCGGCCGCGGCTCCTCGGTGAACCTGACCCAGCGCTGCGCCGGCGTGTGTAGAAACAGAAATAATAAATACCAGGAAGGGCATAATTGCCTGCACAGCCTAACCCTGGAGGTATTGTGCCCTCTCACGAACAAGAACTGTCCTCTAGGGTGTGCCTGCTAAGACAGTCACCCTTTAAATTTTTTAAAAATTTATTTTAATTTTTTTCCTGTGAGTTTAACTTTGCTTCATACATAACCCCTTTGTTTGATTATTATTGGTAGCATTATTTTAATTTGCTTTTCATCACAGAGCATCACCATGCAGGTTTCCGAGGGCTATAGGGGGTGGATTATAACCCTTCAGTGTTCAGGAGAAATTTTTAGCTGAATTGCGCTTTATGGAATTGTCTCCGTGTGTACCCGTGACTTCCCAGGAGGACCTTTCCTCTGTACACCAGTCACAAAGCTTGCTGTAGATTAACTGGTTCCTGTACCTGCCGGTGGCCTAAACATGTGTGCTTGGGGAATGGAGGCGTTTTACAAACGAACTTGAGTGCACTTGTAGCTATGCATGCTAATAGAAGGTTGCTCAGGAATCCTTTCTTACCTTTTCATACCTATGGGTTAATCCCATCAGCAAGAGAAGTTTAAATGGCAATCAAGTTGCAATCCTATCAAAAGCCACAATTACATTGTAGATATTGGTCAAAGCAGTGATGAGTATGACTTGCAATAAATGTTACATGATTGAAATCGTAAGGGCAACGTTGGGTCCAATTACTCGATAAAAATGATTATTCTTTATTTCTGGAGCTAGTTTCCCTGACTTCTGAAAACCAGAATGAATATTGGAAGGACTTCTCATAACTTCAGTTGTGAATATTAGTTGAATGTTTTTGTTTGTTTGTTTTTTAACAAAGAAAATCAGTAAGGTAAATGTGACAGGAGGGAATTGCATCTGTCACATATATTATGGTTTCCTGTTATAACAATGGCATTCTGTTTATATCACAGAGAGATGTGTACAGATTGGTATCGTTCAGCAAAATAAGACTGATGAATTAATGCAAAGGCTTTAAAAACATAATGCAAAAAGCCTCTAACATCCAATCAGTTTCATAAGAAAATTCAGTTTAAAATTATGTTTTATTGCTTTGGAAGCTTGGCTGGATAAAAGCATTGAAACTTAAAATTTTTTTTTTCTTCTGAGAAACAAATATTTTCATTGTCTTCTAGTTTCCCTGCTTGAATATTTAATATTTAAAATAATTTTTCAACAAATTGTCTTTTTTCTTTTTTTAGTTTCCACTTTCTCCCTGACAGTGACCTGGTATGCAAACTGTAGTCGATAGGTTGATTCTTTTTTCCCCCTCTACTTAAACTCTATAACAATGTGTCCCTGATTACGTTTATGGGACTCTTTTTCCCCCTAAGATTTAGATGGGTTGCATCTTCATATTGCAAAATCCAAGTTTTACACATGGCATGAGGTAGATAAAAGTTGAAGTTTTAGGCCAGGCAGCTTTTGTCTCCAGTTCTGATATATGATTTGAGCCAGTAAGGAGACCTTTGTGTCCATGAAGAGAATCATTAGGGTGCCAAAGAAACACAAAAGGCCATCTGGGTGCTTGTTTTTTTTTCGTTGTGTTTTTTGTTGTGGGTTTGTTTTTTTTTTTTTTTTTCCCTAAAGACCTCTGGAGTCCAAGTGACCAAATGATTACCTAGGAAAAGCATTTGTTGGTGTTGCCTATAGGACAAAATGGTTTTCATCAACATGGGGCAGGATAACGATGCTGCCATGTTTTGATGGCACTGAGAATGCATTATTTATTTATTTTAGTCTTCCATTTTGAAGCTTGATGTTAGATTAAGGTGCTGCATCAGCATGGTTGTTGCTGTGCAATGCTTCTTGCTTAAAGGCTTTAACTGTGGCTTTTTTTACTGATTAGAGCTTTGTCTATAAGACATTGTAAAATGCTACCTTTATTTTAAATTCAGAGCAATCTCTTTCTTTTTGTTGAAATGTGTACCTGATTCTGCATGTTAAAAGTTCATTAAATGTGACCAGATTTGCAGGTGGAAAAACAGGCAATTGTATTGAAGCTAAGTGGATTTGAAGGCCACTGGAAATCAGGTGCAAAGTTGATTAAAGCTTTTTTTATTTTAATACTGATTGTGCACATTTGCCTTTCCAGAAATATTTTCAGGTATGGGTAGGTTTTGTGGGTGTTTTCACTGTTGAATAATTTCTTCTCTCTGAAAGAGTTATCTTTTGTGCCAGAGGCTAGAAGTGGATTATGTTCTTTAGTAACTGATATAATTGTTAAGATTAGTGCAAATTTTTACAATTTCTTGATTATATTTTATTTTTAGACTGAATTTTGAAAGCAGATTAGATTATGGAGTTAAATTAACTTTTTGTCTATGGCAGTATTGCATTGTATGGTTAAACTGGGCTGTCCTTGGAGGGGGATGTCCCAAGGGAAGTCCTGGATGCTGCAGGAAGTGGTGTAACTGATTCCCAAGGTGGCACTCTCTGGTCTAAAAGCAGTGCCCCAGCATGGTGCCAGCTAGATGTGCCATAAGTCAGATGTAAAACTAAGATCCTATCTGCCAGATGGATATCCCTCTATCTTTTACCCTACAGCTATTGTCCGATGTTAGTTTGGTAATGTTACTGAGGATCTAAACTCTCCATGTACACACAGCTTTAGTATTTACTTTCTAACTTAAATGGTGCTGTTTTGTTGCTTGGGTACTGAGAAATTACTATGTTCCTCTTGATAGGAGACTGCACTGAGTATAGTAATTTTCTATGTGTGACCTTTAAGACATTTTGAAATCTTTGTAGATGAAAGATGTTACATAGATGTAGGGAACATAGGACCGTAATAATTACTGCTTTCTTGAACAAATCTCCTGCTGAAGTTCATTAGAAGCACAAGTAAGGAATACTGAATAGAACCCTAATGTACTGTATTATAGAGGGAACTAGTAGCAACTTCTGTATTTAGATTGTCTAGTAGTTTCCATTATAAAGAAATTGTATGATCTTTTTGAGGAGGTTTCTTGTTTGCAAAAGCCATTGTAATTTGGCAAGAGGAAAAGTCTTTAGGCTAAGTAAGTGGTCTGATTTCCTTGCCCCATGAAATTATTTAAGTTCTGCTGAGACTAAATGACTTGAAAAATCTTAATTCCTCCTCTGTCACTCATGCTGTACAGAAAAGTCTTTGCTAAAGAACTGAAAAAGCCCAGACTGGAACTGTTAAAAGCAACAGGGGCAATGATGGCATGCTGAAAACACAGAAGGGAATTATATGGCTCCTGAGGAGGTTATAAATGGGGTTGCTGAATTTGGGTTGACTCTCACAGTTACTGCTTTGTCAAAAGACAGTTGCTCCACTGGCAAGCTACCATTTCTTTCTTCTGTTCTTCATGGCACCATCTACCATTACTGGTTGACTTAGAAGAATTGGGCTGGATCCTTGGGACAGACCCTATTGCAGCGAGTATTTTCTCCCAGTTTGTCTGTCCTTCAATAGATGTTTGGATTTTGGTTTCCTTGTCAGCTAACACCATTAGTCACTGTAATTTAGATGTGTTGTAAAGCTGAAGATTTAGAGTTTGTGTTGCTGGGAAGAAGTACACAAGAGGATTGGTATTCCCTCTAAAGGAGTGCATGTTTCCTACTATCTGCTGCCTTCTAGGAGGCTGCATTACTGCCTTGTTGTCACCTCTCTGCTTCAGCTTCCTCAGATGTGTTATTAAAGCTCTTGTTATTCAGTTAGCAATAGCATCCAGATTTAAAATTACCTGTCACTTTGCTTTCCTTCATGTGTTTTTTATGCATGTGGTCTGATCTCTAGTTGCAGGATCCTATTTTTTTCCATGCTGTTACAAACCACTTCTCCTTTCAATGTGAATGATGAGTATCCAGGGCAGTATAGTGAGAGCTACAGGAGAAACTGCAAATACTGGCTTTTTAAACTTTGAAGTGCTTGTAATGATATTCTACTGTGTAAACAAAACAAAAAACCGATGCAGGGACATGTGATCAATTTCTCCTTTTCAAACTTGATAACATTCTGTGATTTTTAAATTAGGGAAAGGAGCTGTAAGTGTGGCCCTTTAAGGATAAAGGATGTTTTCACTAATAGTAAAACTAAGTGTGAAAATAGTGAATAATAGTGAAAACTCTCTTGGCTAGTAGTAGGGAAAGATTTGTTATTCAGACATGTATTTTATGATTGTTATGGTTTTATTTTATTTTTTAGAACTACTTTCATTACTTGCTTTGAATTAAAAAAAGACATATCAATGAATCTGAGTCTTAGTGCAGGCTGTTCAAGCTCTTTTTTTTTTTTTACCTGGGGAAATGGAGAATAAGGAGATGAGACAGGTACAAATGACTTCTGTGAAGTTTTGTGGGTTTTTACTTTTTTTTTTTTTTTTTAATTTGGATATAATTTGTTTTTAACACAGGTTGAGTGAGCTCTTATATGCGATATAGTTTATAAAATAGACCCTGAAATTTATAGCCATAATGTGAAAGTCATGTTTAGTAAGGATGAATTTTTGTGGATTTGGGATCTATACTTCTTCATGTCCTTTACTGCTGAAATAGAGATAATATATAACCAGACAAATGGGGGCATGGCTTCTGCATTCTATGATCTATTGATCTTCATCACTAAATCATTCTTTTCTCATGGGCTAAGGTATGAAAAGCCAAATTTAAATCCTACCAGACACCTCGGAGTGTGAGATATAAGGGCCTGGGATAGAATCTTTGTATATTTTCATGGTATTTGGTCGATGTTCCTTGACTGTGCCTGAGAGTTTGGCCTGCTAA